TCGTTGATCGTTGCTGGGCAGTGGAACAATTTGTTTTGAGTTGTCTTGACCATTTAAACCTATTTCAACTACTTTTGGATCCCCAGTATTAGCAAGAACCTCGAATGCATTTGAGCTGGAAACAACGGGGTTGTCATTTTGTCGAGCACTTTGTTTCTGGTATAGTTTTTTTTTTTAGCGAAATCCACTAAGCAAGTGCGTAGGGCTAGTTTTTATTAATATATAAATGGAAATCAATGTCATGAAGTCCTAATAAGTGTAAAGAAATAAAATTTGATCTCTACATACAGCCTATTATCAAAATTGAGTGTTATACTCAAAATTGATATCACATTAGTACTATTAAAATTTGCAAAATAAAAACTAGCCCATGTATAAAATTCCTCCATTGTTGCATCCAAGCTGTCCAGGCAGTCCGTTGGCCCAACAATGGCCAATTTCCATCGTGTATCTATGAAAACCAGCGATCCATATGAATTGCACACATAGCCATCATCTTTCCAATTGCTGAGTTGCAAATACAGCCATAGAAATAGCCCAATTTGTGAGACCCATTTCCTCAACAACCAGCCCAAGCTCTCATTTGTTTTTCTAGCCCACTTCAGCAATATAGTCTCTTTACAATTATAACCTATTTTAGTCAAATAAAATCCCCACATCGTACATTGCACTTGTAGCCAAATTTCTCGAATCTCCCTCCTTGAACACGTGTTGTCACCGGATATAACCCACATTTGCTCCTTTATTCCTATCCTTACACTCATTGTATCCATTTCAGACCACCTACATCTATCATTTCGCCCATCTTTGTCCAAAATTTCTTCTCTGAAGCTCCTCCTTGTTCTATTGTTGTCTATCATCTTGTATACCTCCCTAATTGTTGCCTCATGATTTCCCGCTGTTGCTGATTGGAATTGATTTGTACCTGACAGTATTCCAGCTGAATCTTGCCTACCGCATCTAGTTAGAGACATCAAAGATTGTCCAGCTCTAAGAGTGGATGAATTGCTCAAAAGCCTTCCCTGCTTATCTTCCCTTGAGTTGCATGTTGGTGTTCCGGTCAAAACTGCTGAGATGCTGCTCAGATTTCCTTGACTATGCCAGTGGATTTTGTAAAATGTTTTAAGAGTAACAGTCTTCTCTTCCTCTTTCTGATTTATTTTTTGTTCCTTCTGTGATTTCTGGTTTGCATGTGTATATGAATTCCTGAGGAGTGATTGAATCCTTGTATGTTGTAATGTGTATCTTTGTTTATGATTGATTGTTTGTTTCCACATGTGCATCATCCAGCTAAATTCCTTTGAGATTGAAAGGAATTTTGCTGTCAGCATCCTGTATGCATTTGTGACATCATATGGCTTGTTGATTTTTCGTTTTGTCTGTTGCTGTTGCTGAGATGCAATTCCTTGCCTTTTGGGGAAATTTGAACTCGTGCTATTGTCTAGATGTAATTTTAATCCATTGGAATGAATGCTGAGCATTAATACCACCAATTGAATCTCCATTACACCATAGAGCAATAGCAAAGCCCATGTATATGACTGGACCCCTGAGTATTCTCTGATCCTCATATCCTCCTCCCTAAGGATTTGAATATAATTATCTGCAGTAACATGAACTCTATAAACTGATACCACCCTTTCAAGTTGCAGCAAATAAGAGATCATTTGTCCTGTAGTTCTTACTGCCAAATAGATGACCATAATTTCCTCCTCCCAAAGGATTTGGATCTGGTATTCTACAGTATATTCTTGTGTTGCCCATTTCTTTGCCTGATTCCACATGGTTGTAGCTTTAGTTTTGTAGACTTCAAATTGTTCCTGCTCTTCTTTTGTAGATTGTGCATGGATGCACATTTTGAGCAGGCTCTTGATTGCATTGTTCCAGTAGTTAATGTTGTATTTCCTACTGATAGTCCTCCATCTACCCATGTTATCGTATACTGATATTTCATCTTGGGGCTGAGCACCTAGTGCTAATACCACCCATGGATGATTTACCAATATATGCAGCATGGGTATATTACCTGTTCCTGCAAAAAAGAAAACTGTGTTAGTTAAAAATATGATCTTTGTGATCTCCTTCATATGAATTTGACCACAGAGATGGATCTTATCTCCTGTTCCCTTATTTCTCCCCTCCAGAAAAACTGTTATACTCTCCTCACTAATGATTTGAGTATAACAGTCTATATACTTGACTCCATTTGTTGGGCTACCACCTCTCCACCTTGTTTTCCCTTCTCCTTCTACTTTCCTGCAACTTTTACTCTTATGTATGAGCATCTTGACTTGTCATCATTCACTATTTTCCTCCCTTGAATATCCAGATCCCAAAAATTGTGTGCCTCAATATCCCCAGACTCCAAAGCATAATTAGCTAAATGGTCAGCTAATCTATTTCCTTCTCTAAATGTATGAGACATTATGACATTACTCCTGTTCATCCACTCCTTTATCTCTTCAACTTCTACAACAATACTCCATGGAACAGACCACTCTCCTTGTAAGACCTTCTTTAGTAGCATTGAATCTGTATGTACTTCAAGCAGGATATACTCATTTTGAACACAGTATCTCATTGCCTCCAACATTGCCATTGCTTCTGCATATGTGTTTGTGCCTTCCTTTATTTTCTTGCCACAAGCATATATGACATCCCCCTCTTCATTCCTTAATACATAGCCAATAGCACTACTGCCAGGATTACCCCTACATGCCCCATCTGTATTTACTTTTATCCATCCTTCATTAGGAAATTCCCACAGTACTTTGGAATATTGCAGCACTGGTGTATAATTCTCCATCATATTAAGCATATATGGCCATTTATGTGGAACATTTTGTAACCCTGGCTTCCTGAACTTTACTAAAGACTGCATAGTTGATGAAATTTGGTATATAACTCTACTAACTGTGACTGCCTCCCCATATTTGAAACTATTCCTTCTCTTCCATAGTTCCCAAACAATCACAGATGGTAAAGCTTGAAAAATAGGTTGGAGTCTAGGAATTACATGAGCAGTCCAACGTTTGATCACAGCTTGATGTAGAGAAATTCCGTCTGATGATAGTCCTGCACATCCCAGAAAATATTTCCATACAGTTGTAGCTGGCTTTGAAGTGAAGAACAGATGTTGCACAGTTTCTTCTTTTGGTTCTGCACAACATCAACATTTTGATGCCATCAAATATCCAAGCCTTCTGAAAAATTCATCCAGTGGTAATTTATTTCTCCATAGCTTCCACATAAAAAAAAGCAATCTTAAAAGGAAGACCTTTCACCCAAATCTTTCTATAAGCATTACAAGGCTCACTTCTTCTTCTCACATATTCCCAAGCTGACTTTACTGTGAAATCCCCTTTTGTTTCTAGCATCCACACTGGCTTATCAATAACATTATCAAGTGTTGGAGGCTTCAGGTTTTGCAAAATATGATCTGTAATGTCTTCTGGTAGAATACTTCTGAGGACCTCTTCATCCCATTGTCCATGCTACACTACTTCATATATGTTTTGAATAGATTCATCACATATAAAATCTGGTGGAGTGACAAAATACAAAGTACCCAGTCCTGTCCAATTTTCAAACCAAAATAAAGCTGATCCCATCTTAGGCTGCCATAAAATTTGATGCTCTATTAGATCTCTGCACTCTAACATTTTTCTCCACACATGAGAACCATCTCTCCAAGGCACTACCATAGGATTGAGCTTTTTACAGTATTTTTGGCTCATAAATGAACTCCACAGGCTTGGTTTTGTTCTGAAATTCCACCATAATTTGCAAAACAAAGCAGTAGACATATCATGTAATGATCTGAACCCCACACCCCCTTCTTCACAAGGTAGACATAGAGTGCTCCAAGAAGCCCAATGCCTATTTGATACACCTACTGTATTACTCCAAAAGAATTGTGCAAAAATCTTATGAAGTCTATTGAGCACATATGCTGGGGGGTTTACTGCAGATAGTAAGTGTATAGGCATGCTTTGAAGCACACTTGTAATCAATACTGCCCTTCCCCCTATAGATAAAAGATTGCCTTTCCAGCTCTGCAACCTGTCCATAACCTTAGTAATGATGTCCTAATAATAATTCATTCTTCTCCTGAGATAAAAAATTGGACACCCAAGGTATGTAAATGGGAACTCTTGTTTAGGAATTCCTGTGATCCTTTGCACCTTATCAATCACTTCTGCTCCAGCTGATTCATGCAGATATATAGCTGACTTGTTCTTATTGATTAACTGACCAGATGCAGCTTCATAGGCTGTCAGTACCTCCATTATAAGCCTCAATGAATTAGCATCAGATGAAGAAAAAATGATGGTATCATCAGCATATGCTAGATGATTAATCTTGGGACTCCATTTAGGCATTCCAAAACCATAGAATTGTCTGTTACTATGCAGTGCATTCAACCCCCTTGACATAGCTTCAGCAGCTAGTATAAATAAAGTAGGTGATAAAGGATCACCCTGCTTCACACCCCTAGTTGATCTAAAAAATCCATTAGGCTGTCCATTGATTAGTACTGAATACCAGTTGTTAGATACAATTCCAAAAATCAGACCAATAAACCTTTCCCCAAATCCCATCCTTCTTAACACCTTTGCTAAAAATATCCAAGACAGTCTATCATAGGCCTTCATCATGTCCAGCTTTAACACAACATTAGGTCCTGCTTTGGTTCTTAGTCTGATATCTGTCACTATCTCTTGAGTTAAGAGTATATTTTCCACTATGCTTCTCCCTTTGACAAAACCAGCTTGTTCCTCAGAAATCAAACTTGGTAACGTCTCCACTAATCTTTCATGGATCACTCTTGAGAAAACTTTGTTGATAAAATTACTGAGACTTATTGGTCTCATGTCAGAAAAAGTTTCCACCTGTTTCTTCTTTGGTAATAAAACCAGGTTTGTGTGTGTTATATATCTAGGTAATTCATGTCCATTGAAAAAATCCTGCACCATAGCCACAACATCTTCCCCAATTATTTACCAACATGAATGAAAGAAAGCACCTGTGAAGCCATCAGGACCCCCTGCACTCTCTCCATTTAACCCTATAACTGCATTTTTGATCTCCTCTTCTGTAGGCTGCTGAATTAGCTTCATGTTCTGTACATTATCTACTAATGTAGGCACATAATCAAGGATCCTGAAATTTGTAGGTACTGCATCCTCATGGAATTGATTTTGAAAAAATCTCACTGCTTCATCTGCCATATCAGTAGTGTCCTCCAACCAATTGCCTTCTGCATTTTTAATTGTTTTTAACTGTAACCTCTTTCTTTTGCCATTTACCTGTGCATGGAATAACTTTGTATTCCTGTCTCCATCTTGAAACCAATTCATGCCAGCCTTCTGCTTCCAAAACTCCTTCTCTAGAGTTAAATATCTGATTAATTCAGCTTGTACCTTTTGTAGCCTTTGTCTGCTTTGAAATGTAGGATTTCTTTCAAACTCAGTCTCATGAACAATTACCACTTCTTCCAAACTTGCAATTTTCTGAAATATATCCCCATAGGTGTTCCTGCTCCAGGCTGATAGGGCCTTTTTTAGTCTCTTTAACTTCTGATTGAATATGTAGAATGGATCCCCAACAAAATCTACTCTCCAGTTGTCCTTGACCATATTCTTAAAATTAGGATGCTTTATCCAAAAATTAAGGAATCTGAAAGCCTTCTTAATTGGAATTGCATCAGAACTGCATGTTAAGAGCATAGGACTATGGTCTGATCCTGTTTTGGATAGGTGATTGACCTCTATTGTAGGGAACATCTGTTGAAATTCAAGATTTGCAAGGCATCTGTCAAGTCTCTTAAAAATACAATCATCTTCAGCTCTCCCATTCCACCAAGTGAATATGCTGCCTTTAAAACCTAAGTCTATGAGGTTACATGTGTTAACACAGTGTCTAAAATCATTTACCTCATTTAATGACACTGGAAACCCCCCAAAATTCTCCTCATCATCCCAAATAACATTGAAATCTCCTGCTACAATCCAAGGAATTGTCATGTCTCTAGCCAAGTAATACATGCTATCCCACAATTCAATCCTTTCAATGGGGTCACACTTAGCATATACAAATGTGACAATGAAAGAAATCTGTGTGTCCATATTAGTCAGCTTCATGGTGATCTGTTGTTCTGAGTTAATCAACACATCCACACCATGATCCTCATCTACAAAAACCCATATCTTATTTGAAACATTGGAGAAAGCTTGAATAAAACCAATTTTCCTCCTATATCTTTCTAGCTTCCTAGGATTCTGCATTGGTTCCATGATTCCAATGAATTGACAATGATGTTGCCTTTGCATATTGACAAGTCTTTCAAAGGCTTTTTTTGTATTCACTGACCTCACATTCCAAATAATAGCATTCATCATTTAATTGTGAGATTTAGATAGGAACTACACTTTGTGTTTCTCTATGATTCTTCTTTTTGCCTCTTCCTGCAGATTTTCCTGTATCCAAGTGCCTAGGTGATAGATCTCCTTGCCTTGCCACTTTTTGGAAGTTTTGAGTTGTAGATTCTTCATCCAAATCTTTCCCTATTGATTTAGTAGCATCTGCCAATTCAAATGGATCCCTTGGTTCTGCAACCTGGTTCTGCATATCACTTGGAACCACTATTGCATTACCTTTGTCGTGATCTTTGTGTAATGCTTGAATCATTTGTCTATCATCATTTGCTGAAGCTACATCACATGACTGAATAGAAGCTGAGCCAACTACCTTGGTATTCTCAATTCTAACCTCTTGTTGCACAGCTGTCATTTGCCCTTCTTTATTTTTATCTGGAGGTACATCATTGGGAGGTTCAATATTTATATTCATTTGCACTCCATCTCCATCCTTTTTGGATTGAGTCCTATCACCTTGATCCTGATTGTGTTTATTGCTCTTTCCCACTGATTGTTGCCCCTTGTCCTTGTTATTGACACTTTGTTCTTCCTGTTCTATCTCTTCATCTGATGATTCCACTTCTCCACATGCACCTTATGGCAGTTCACCTTCCTCTGAATCTTCCTCAACTTGTTGATTCCATATTTTCCTCCCTTCTGCTTGTATATCATCATTACCATTGATATTTTTCAGAGTTGCATCAATCTCAGTAGCCTGAGATGGAACTTCCTGATAGGACTGGTTGGTAGCTACAACATTAGTAATGAAAGCTCTGCTAACCCATGCTGCTGTTGATTCCCTTTGGTTATCATCCACTATTGCATTCTTTTTACCTTTGTGCTTCTCAGTATCTTCCTTCCTTGTTGTACTTCCAACTCCAGTAGATTTAGGAGTAAACACTGCAGCTGTAGGATTTAGTTTCCTTACAGCACTAGCATTATTTTTATTTTCCACTTCAACTACTTGATTTCTCCCTGCATCATCACCATCCTTGTCCTCCAATACTGAAAACATATTGGAGGTTTGAATTTGCTGATTAGTTGCACCATCTGACACCACTTCTTCCCTTGTCACACCATTACCTTGTTGAACATTATTATTCACTAGGACAATTTCCTTTCCTGTAGCTCCATTACTTTGAGACTGCATTACATTATTAACATTTGCCAGTACAATTTCATTACCAGCCTGACCTTGTGCTGTATCCTTATTAACATCTCGTCCTTGAATCTGCTGCACATTAGATTGATCTGCTGGTACTACTTCCTTTCCTATAGCTTCTTGCTTGATATTTTTCTTCACTCGATTATCTCTAACTTCTTTCCATTGTTCCAAAGTTGAGTTCACATTACCTACAACTCTGCCACTTGACAAAATCATTAATGGTTGATTATTTTGATTCTGAGTCTGCTCCTTACCATGGTCTTCCTTTTGTTTGCCTTGATCATAAGGTGACAATTCAGGATGCTGCCTCCAACACTCAAAATCATCATGCCCTTGTAATCTACATACTTTGCAATACTTAGGCAATATATCATACTTAATAGTGACCCATTCTGTTCTTAGTTCCCCTCTAGCTTCATTGACTATGTCCATTCTCACCTTCTTAGGATGATCAGCTAGAAGGTCTACCAGTACCTTGACCCTAGCACAACTAGGTCTAGTCTTGTTGATTGTGGCCATATCTAAGTGCAATAGTTTTCCCACAGCTGAGGCAAGTGAGAATAAACACTCCTTTACGAAATAAGTAGGCAACAATCCTGGAAAAGAGATCCAAGCCATAGCCATTGGAGTCTCCTCTCTTACCTTAAATTTCACATCATATATGAGAGGTCTGATTTGATATTCATGTCCATGCTTGTCTTTAATATATTGAGCACCTTTCGACGTAAAATTTACAAAGTCCTGCCACAAAGTCATACGAATAAGGACATGCCTATCACGCAAATACCCAATGTTATACTCTCCCATTATTCCACATTGCATGGGAACTATACGTCGAATCTCATTCAAGTCTGGCCATCCATACGAAAATTTACCAACCACAGCATATTGGAGACCTTCTATTACATTCATTCTATCAACTTCTGCCTCCATAAACTTCACCATTGGTTGTCCATTAATAAGCGCTACTCGACGTAAAGGAATTGGATCAACAGTGGAGGCACGTTCGTGCATGGCACTGTTCATGGTCGATGGTTTAAGGATTTTAGAGTAATCTAAGGGCTGGGTAGTGTTGTTAGAGGTCGTGAGGGGCTGGGCGATGGGGGGGGGGGGGGGG